ATATGGAAACTGAATAACACCCTGCTTAAAAACTACTGAGCGACAGAAGAAAAATATTCCTTGAATCAAACAAGAATGAAGACACAACATACAAAAATTTGGGGGACAGAGCAAAAGCAGGGCTCAGAGGACAATTTATCGCAACAAACACACACATCAAAAAGAAGAAAGAGCCAAAATCAACACCTTAACCCCACATTTCCAACAAACAGAAAAAGAACAGCAAAAAGCCTACAGTCACCAGAAGAAAGGAAATAATAAAGATTATAGAGCAGAAATAAATGAAACAGAAAAACAATTGAAAGATTCAACAAGACTAGAAGTTGGTTCTTTTAAAAGAATAATAAAATTTACAGACTACTGGCAAATTTAACAAAGGAAAAGAAGGAGAAGATGTAAATATAACAGGAAAAAGAAATGGAATAAGCGATGTTACAAAAGAACCCACTGAAATAGAAAGGTTCATAACACTACTGTGAAGAACTGTAGTTCAACCAATTTGAAAACCTAGAAGAAATGGACAGATTTCTAGAAATGCACACTACTTACCTAAACTAACAAAATCTGAGGCAGAAAATTTGAACACACCAGTCAAAAAAAAAAGAGAAATCAACCATGTCATTAAAAAATTCCCAACCAAAAATATTCTGGCACAAATGCTTCACTGGTGAATTCTACCAAACATTCAGAGAAAAGCTGACGCCAATTCTATCCCAAACTATTCAAGAACACAGAAAAGGATGGAATACTCCCAAACTCATTCCATAAAGCAAGCATAACCCTGATACCAAAACCAGGCAAACACACCACTAAAAAATAAAATTATGGACCAATATCTCTCATGAACATATATGAAAAATTCTCAACAAAATGCTAGCCAACAGAATGCAGTAATATATCAAAAAAAATACTACATCACGACCAACTGGGATTCCTACAGGTATGCAAGGATGGTTCAACATTGGAAAAACAATCATTGTCATCCACCTTGTAAGTAAAACAAA